TGATGCGACGTTAGGCAAAAGGAAAGAAGATGGAGGTGCCGGAGAGCTACTCGGTGCATCAATCCACGTGTGGAGGTGAGCTAGCTGGTTGTGCGCTAGTATGGACCCTTGTCTTGAACATGGCAGGCGCGCCCCGGGTCAGACATTCGCAATATTCTGCACCGTCGCCGACAGAGATTGTCAATACCGGAACATGATTTGAAAGAAGATATGATCGGACCGAAGGTATGGCAGACTCTACACGTACTATGGCTCGCTGCTGGCGAGCGTATACAAGACTGATGTGGCATCGAAATTTGGTAGGTAGCACCGGATGAGACATATTCCAGGGTGCAATGTGAATGAAATATGTATTGACTTCATGCAAGGGTATCTGTCTGAGCATTGCTACTTGCGTATAATGATGTCGCTTTATAACATCATGAAGAAGGACCCGGAGCAGTAGCCTCTTCCTCTGTAGTTGCCCTCTCCTTGCCCTTGGTGCCTACACTTGCATTCGACTCATCTTGTGGCTCGAGATCGGCCTCGGTCTTCTTTTCATCTCTCTGCTCGCGCTGTGCTTGGGCCTCTTCTTCCCTCCTTCTCGCCTCTTCCTCCTGGCGTTCCCTCTCTTCTCGAGCTGCCACCCTTTCGAGTCTCTCCCTCTCCTCTTGCGCATGGACCATCCGCTCTCCAACACCAGGAAACAAGCTGGCAACAAACAGCGCAAAAGCGCGTTCGACTGTACGCATGGTGTCCCTGGCCCATCCAAATCTCTGATCCCTCCTCTGCTGCAGTATCCTCCTCGCAGCTTCCTCGGGTGATAGGTTACCTCGATGTTGCGTTTGGCGCTGGTTGTTGGGCTGAGCCACGCGTTCGGCCAAGGCTCCGACAGGGAGAAGAGCCTCGAAGTGACGACGAACAACGTTGAACTGCTCTTGAAACATTCCGGCTTGTGCTAGGTAAACCACACCTGCGACGATACCAAGCATGATAGGTCTATAGAGGCCACCACCTCCTGAGAAGAAGTAAACGAATGCTGCCAGCTTGAAGATCAGCCACATATGCCCAGCGACGTTGACCATACGATCGTTCTCTTCTGGTTGGTTTACGTTTACGTTCGCGTTTTGATTCTGGTTTTGGTTCTGATTCTGATCTTGATTCTGATTTTGATTCTGGTTTTGGTTTTGGGTTTGATTCTGGATCCAGTCCCGACGTTGGGTCTGGCTCATGTTGGCTAGCTGCCTATGCAGCTCAAGGTCAGGGGGCGGATTCCCCCGTGCTATCTGCTGTCCAAGTCCATTGAGGAGCTGTCTGTTCTGAGCAAACTGGTTCGTAAAACTCTGAAATGGAAGTGTCGAGACCATGGGGGCAGTGGTGTATGTGCCTTGCTGATCGAATAGAACGCCAACCGGGCCCTGAGGGCTTGATAAGAGAAACAACTCCGTTGGCGCATCTGGAGGCATTGCCTGAGTAGTGTTCTGTGTCCGTGGTTGAGATGTAGTAGGCACAGCTGGAGTCATAACCGGGGCGCCTGGTATGGTGCTAGAGGAAGGTCCGAGAATCGGAGTGTTGATGGCTGTGGACATGCTTGATCGACTGGGGCTTCCGCCTTGTTGCCGATCGAGTATGATGTTCAACTCTAGTGCGTCCACTCTGATCTCGGTTACTGAACGTCTCAGCGCTACCACCTCGGGTTCTGTAGGGAGAAGGGCGAGAGCCCGCTCGACAACGTTCAAGTTCTGGTTGATGGTGTTCAGGTGTTGACGGATGTGGTCAATTCGCCAAACCGGTAGGTTCAGGGGAGAGGTGTTTGAAATTGAAAGTTGATCAGTCTGTGTCTCTGATGGACGCGCAGGCTGCAGCAAGGTTCGTACGTTTTCCATCTCGCGTTGTGCCTCCTGGAAGATTGTCTGGATGCGTGGCAACAAGCGCTGGGTACTGTCGTGGCCCATTGAGGGAATAACGCCTGGCGGGACCGGTGGACGACCAAACGCTAGCGGTGGAGCAAGACCGAATGCAGGAACGGGCTGTCGAATCTGCGCAGGTATATTGACCTGGTTGTATGTGACTGTCCATCGCGCCCCGTTGGGACCCACGCCTTCGCGTCGTAATGGTTGGTCGCCATTTCCAGGGAGATTGGGCAGTCCTTGAGCGGCATCCGCGGGTCTCTGTACGTCTGGTCCTGGCTGCTGGGATGTCGAATCTGGAGTCGGCTCGTTGTTCTGCTGTCCCTGTTGCGCCATGGCCTGCGTGAACTGTTGTTGCAGTTGTGGGGGAAGAGGGAGAGGAATGGGAACCGCGTTTGCTTGGCCCGGGATATGATGGTGGTGCGGTGGTAGTGGTGGCAGCGAGTGCGGTCGAGCCTGTGGCAGCGCGCGGAATGGGTTCGTCTGCAGAGGGTTTGCGGGTACAGCCGGGGCTTGCGCAGGGCGGAAAGGGTTCGGGACAGTCGCGGATCGTGGCGTAGGTGACGTTGGAGGGTTCCCAGTAGTCGGAAGCTCCCGCAGAACCAAGTGGAGGCTCTGGTCCTTGTTCTCACGTAGCTGTATTCACCATCAGCTTACGTTTACCACACGTGGTTGGTAGCCCTACATTGTCAATACCAAACACATTGCTCAGCGTATCGGCATCATTGGCCACTACTCTGCCGCGATAGATGAGGCGCATGCGCTCTGGGGCAGGCTTCGAGGGCGCGGCATCCTGTATGCGGCTCCGGAGCTCTTTGACCGTGGTGGAAGCGGGGACGTCTGCAAGGTTGACACCACCCTCGAAGTCAGACGAGGGTGAAAGGATCTTGAGGTTGACTGTCTGCGCTTCTTCCGCCATGGCCGCTGTGTGTAGTGAGGGACTATGGTGCAAGGTGAAGAGTGCAGGTGGAAGTCGGGAAGTGACGACGTGTCCGAATTAGAGCCTGGTATCAGCTTGGGACTGCGGTCGCGCCTGCCATCTGCTATGAAGTCCAGGCGGATAATCTGAGCGTCAGTGCCGCCTCGCCTTTGGATGTTTCGAGAAGCTTGACCTGTGCACGCGATGCATTGAACTGTCCATGTCCAGCGGTAGACGCCGTTGCGCGCTAGAGCCCCGTCGCCGATGGATACGTCATTGGTCAACCGAGGAAGTTGATTTTCCCACCACGCGACGCCATAGCCGTCATCTCGTCGCTGGGGAATTGGCCGTCTTCCCGCACTGCAATATTAGAGACCGATGCATACAACATAGCCATGGCGTCCTCCTGTTCGCGCCAGCTCATGCGAGCCCCTCTCCGCCCGCGCTTCCAAACGCCCACACACCGACATGCGCGCCTCTCTGCCCCGTCTCGCACCTTCTCCTCCACGCGCGCAACATATGAGCAGAACTTCCACAGGAAAGAGTCCTTCAGGTCACGGCTGAACTCCGCACTTAAGAACACCAAGATAAAATGGGAGCCAATACCAATTGCACTCGGTGTCGGCTTCCTCGGCGCATTCCAGCTCTACCGCATACAACGGAGGGAGAAGCATACCGAGGCTGAGAGACAGAATGGCGAGGAAGGTGCAGTGGACAACCAGGGCCGACCGAAGAAGCGCGAGAGGATACGACCGAGCGGGCCATGGACGGTCCAGGTCATGTCCACGCTACCTCTCAAGGCCCTCTCGCGAGTTTGGGGACGCTTCAACGAGATCGATATTCCCTACTACCTTCGAGTACCTGGCTTCAAGCTCTACTCTTGGATATTCGGTGTCAAGTTAGCGACTGCCACCCAGTAGCGATGCTTCATGCTAATAAGTCACAGCCTCTCTGAAGTCTCCGAGCCCGATCTCCACGTCTACCCTAATCTCGCTGCTTTCTTCTACCGCACCCTGAAACCCGGAGTCCGCCCTCTCGACCCGAACCCCAACGCCGTCCTCTCTCCCGCAGACGGCAAAGTCATTCAATTCGGCACCATCGAGCACGGCGAAGTCGAACAAGTCAAAGGCGTGACGTACAGCTTAGATGCGCTACTAGGCTCCACCAAGCCCAGCACACCCGCCCAAAACGTCGCCAACTCTCAGGTCGTCACAAGCGAACATGAGAAGACCGCAAAGGATGAAGAAGACACCGTCCGCGCAGATGAGGAATTCGCGAATGTGAACGGCATCTCGTATACCTTGCCCAACCTGTTCTCAGGACCATGGCCAAAAGGCGGAAAGCCATCTGAGATGCCCACGGACCAGTCCACCGCCCCGGCTGCTTCTTCAGAAGCCGAGGTACGCGCCGAGATGGCCTTGAGCGAAGCTGAGCGACCTTGGTGGGCACCCGCATCCAACAAGACACCTACCGCACTCTACTACTGCGTCGTATACCTCGCTCCAGGCGACTACCACCGTTTCCACTCTCCAGTATCATGGGTCGTCGAGTCACGCCGTCACTTCGCCGGTGAACTATACAGTGTATCTCCATACCTACAACGCACCATGCCCGGTCTGTTCACCTTGAACGAGCGCGTTGTCCTACTCGGTCGCTGGCGCTGGGGTTTCTTCTCCTACACACCCGTCGGCGCAACCAACGTCGGATCTATCAAGATCAACTTCGATCGCGAACTCCGCACCAACAGTCTCACCACCGACACTGCCGCTGACCGCGCCGCCGAAGAAGCTGCAGCGAGGGGAGAACCATACTCCGGTTTTGCCGAGGCCTCCTACACTTCCGCTAGTCGTGTGCTAGGTGGTTATTCTCTCAAGCGCGGCGAAGAGATGGGCGGATTCCAGCTAGGAAGTACCATCGTCTTGGTCTTCGAGGCGCCAAAGGGCATAAGACCCAGTCTCGACGAGGGCTTCACTGGTATGGAGAGGAAGGGTGGGTTCAAGTGGAACATTGAACAAGGAATGAAGGTCAAGGTTGGAGAGGCTCTGGGATATGTGGAGGAGACCCAGTAATAGTCGACTCACTCTACTCATGCATATACAGCAAATGATACCATCTAGTAACTTCGATTTCGTCTCCGTGATACCTGCACGTTAAAGCGATCTGTGTCCCCTTACAACAAGAACAAGTGCGCCTCATTTAATCTCCTTTCCTTCCATACCTTTGTTCTTCGCGTCCTGTTCCTTTTCACGGGTTCTGCTTCTTGAGGCTCGCCACAGTGAACAACACTACAGCTAATACAAATCGGAGCATTTTTGCCTCGAACAAAATTGATGCAATCTCGGCCAGTAAGAAGCCCACCAGTTCGCAGAAAATGAATGTTCGCTCAGGTAACATCAGTGCCAGAATGACCAACATCATCATGAAGCAGACAATGAAGTCGCGGTGGTCAGTGGTAGAATCGCGGTGCTTTGCTCTTGAGCGAGACGAACGATGTTTGACAGAGACGGTGGGCGGCTTCACCCGGCTGGATGCGCCACTTTTGGATTTGATCTTGATGTAGGTGGTGTGAGTGTGTACGTGATCGGAGTCATCGTCGCCGTTGTCGTTGTTCTCGTCGTTGTCGCCGTTGTCGTTGTCGTTGTTGTTGTCGTCGTCGTCGTCGTCGTCGTCGTCGTCGTCGTCGTCGTCGTCGTCGTCTAGATCGCCGCAGCCGAAGTCAACCCAACTGTCGTCGGACCCCGTGCTCGAGGGGGTATCGTCCGTGGAATAATCAATTTCGCTATTGGAGGCGTTCATGGCGGCTGAGAGTGGTCGTTCTACTGGGAAGTTAGGAAAGAGCGTTTCAGTGGTCTAAGTGGGCGACAGACTCATGGCAGCGTGGGAAAGGGCAGTGTAGATACCTGGTAGTTGCTCAGTCAGCAGTGGGCGGAAGGAGTATCTGAGTGGTCGTAGAAGAGAGCTAGCGGAACGAGGAAATAGTGACCAGGCGGCAACGTGAAGAGGAAAGAGCGCCTGGACTTGGTCTAACCGCGCCCGAACGCGACTGCCTGGACTGCGAGATCACCTGGACTGTCGGATGAGACTGAGTACACGTTTCGATTTCATGCATATACAGCGAATAATACCACCTAGCATACCCGATCTTCTTCTCATCAATTCTCAAGCTTGGAACTATATCCTAGTTGCGTGCTGACTGGAAACTGCTCTACCTCTTTCGTTTATCCATATGAGCAAGCTCTGCCATTCATCCTGTCTTCCTTCCCGTCATTCACACTGCTGGCTCACTTATCACCCATTCCATATCTACCTTACATAACCGAGCACATCAATCCGACAACGACCATGAAGGCAACAATCCAACAAACAGCGAACATGAACAGCATGAACCCGAATAAGAGCATTGCAATTCCAATTACGAGAGCTGCTGCCGCGCCAGCTGCGATCAAGATGTAGAGTAGCCCAGCGTTGCGCTGATCGCGGTAGAGTTCTACTGCGGGGACAGAGTGGTAGGGTTCTGGAGCGTATCGAGTGCGATAGGCATCGTGGGTAGCTACGTGGCCGACTTGGGAAGTGTTGTAGTCGTTGCTCGTGACGGCGTCACAATGGAGATCAAAGCCTAAGATGCGGAGGTAGACGGGCTGGTCTGTTTTGGTGTGGTTGGGAGCCATGGCGGTGGAAAGCGGTGGTTCTGCTAGAATGTCAGCACAAAGCAAGGTAGTGATGTTTCTATACGGCATACATGTAGCAGTACACAAATTGGTTATGTTGAGGATCGTCGTCTCCTGCGCAGACAACAGCGAGCGGAGTGGTCTGCTGTCGGTCAGTCGGAGTCGAGCTAGCAAAGACAGATTGAGTAAGCGAGATGGTGAAGGTGACACAGAACCAGAACTAGGTCTGAAGACAGTTGAACTTGGACTGCTGCCGTGAAAGTCCGCGCGAGTCATTAATTGACATTGAGTACATTCTTTCTTAATTCCTTATAGGTAGATTCATACGACGAAGCATATCTAGCATAACCTTCTCGCACCATGTCTTTGTGAAGCTCTTGCTACTCTTCATCGTTCTACCGTCTATCTCAACCTACTTTGTTCCGATACTGATGTTAGCTATATTGCTTCCTTTTCCAGTGACAATTGTCCGGACATTGATCTATCCAGCCCGTGAGTCTACTTCAATCAACCAACCACCACCCATCATCCTCCCCCTCCACCCCCAATCACCTCCCCATCCGCATCAGCAACCTCAAAATTATTAACCTTCTCACCACCACCCTCATCACCAACCCTCCCCCTATACATCTGCGCTCCAACCACCATCCCGCATATCGCAAGCACGAGAAGCACTCCCCAAATCATATAGATGAACAACACCTTCTTCCTCCTGTACTCCCGTTCCTTCTCCGCGTCCGTAACAGGAACCTCTGGTGTGTGTCCGCGCGAAAGGTGGCCGAGCTCTATGTCATCGGGGTGGGCGGGTGCGCGCTTGAAGAGGCGGGATATGAGGGTTCCGTTTTGTGCGGGTTGGGGGCGCGGTGGGAGGCTGTCTGGGAAAGGCGATGTTGGGGAGGCGGGGGAGGTGGGTTCTGGGACGGGGTGGATGACGATGAGGGGTGGGGAGGTTGGTGGTGAGGGTGGTGTTGGATGGTCTTGATAAGCTTTTGGCGACGGTGAAGGTGGGGATGGTAGTGGCTCTTGTTCTTGTGGAATTGTAGGAATTTTGGGTGATGTATCGTATGCTGATGGTACTTCCGCTGTTCTTGGGTATAGTAGCGTGGATAATGGGCGGCGTGGTTGTTCTGATGACTCCATCGTGGCAGTCTGAGGCGGAGGTAGGTCGGTGGTTGATACCTTCATGGCTCCGGCGTATAAAGACCTCGTTAGGTTGCTGGAGGTTACGGCACTTTGGTCGACTTGGTTAATGTATTGATGCGGTGTGGTGAGAGGTACCAGCGGAGAATGAGTGCCATTTAGGCGCAGTACAATCAGTGAGCGCACAGACCCGAAGTTGAAGTGAAGGTAAGATTACTTTGAGATTAGTGTATCTTGTGACGCAACTGATACTTCTACAGAAGTCGTTCTCCAGTTTCTTTTCAGATTTCGTTCTCAGCGTCCATTGCTATCGATGGTTGTTCGCCAAAATTGAGTGAGAGTATCCAGCTCGACCTCCCCATGCGTGAGACTATTCCTCTTCTTCATTGTCCGACGATCATAGCCCTTATTGACAGCTCTCGTGTTCTGCCCATTCGTCCTCCCATTCCTGTTCACCAATAATATCACCGCTGTCGATGAGCGAGGTAGACCTGCAACGACAGCATCTTCCAACACTTTCACGGTCCAGAGGTCGAAATGTGTCGTAAGCCTTTTCCTCCTGCGAAGTCAATCCAGCCATACGGAGATGTAAATGCTGGTCAATGTGCGGGAAGGAGCCATCTGTAGGGCAGCTCGCGGCGTGTATGGCTGATTCATGTCTAAGTGACCAATAGAAGCAATTCCGCAGGCACTGCATTCTGAAGTTGTCTGTCGATGCGTCGGCTGTGTCTCTGTCGATGAACAAATTGCGTATGGCTACGTGAACGGGTCGAGATCTGGGTTCGTTTCCTGGGCGCAACTCAGGTGCTGCTACGCGCCAGTCTAGGAGACGGCTTTTGTTTGTCCAATAGGTAGTGTTTGCGTATGACAATCGAGTCACCAAATCATCCATAGCGAAGCTGCCGAGCGAGATGCTGTTCACGATAATCTGCGCTGGTAATTTGCTGATGGCTCGTAACTTTGGGTGTAGAACTTCACCAGCTTCTAGCTGAATCTTTTGACTGGTACCGAGGATAGCTAGGCCGGGGATCTTCTTGCAAACTATCTTCATGGAGTATACAGGCCACTTCGAAGAGGGAGTCTGAAATTGTGCTCCGTCTTCGAGGAAATGTCCAGGTAATTGAGTAGAGTGATAGTGAGAGTTGTTGAACCAGAAAGCAAAATCGTTGGTACGAACGACATGGTGTGTCGTCTTGACCGGGAGAAAATTGTAGACCATCAAGCGCAGTTCTGTTGGTAGATCGAGAAATCGGAATACCTGTTGATCGGCCATGGTCGAGAGAGAAGGTTGGAGAAATCTGTAGTTTGCATTGAAGTGGTCGTAAGGACAACGCTCGTAAAGTTTCAGTGGAGAAGTTTCGGGCAATGGAACTGAAAATTGCGCAATCCCATTACGTACCGTAGCGCGCGACCCCTAGGGGTTGATAGGAGTAAGATAGCCATATCAAGTGAGGAGACGCTGTCAGGGGCATATCATCTAAAGTTTAGCTAACAAGCTCCTATCGTAGGCAAGATCGTAACTTAAGATAAAAGCGTTTATCCAGCTTATATATTATAGAGGATAGGCTTGTACCTGTCTTTTAACAGCAAAAGGGGTTACTCCTAACTACTTTTGCACTGTAACTAGCAAGGGGTGCTAAGGATTAGCTGTGCGAGCGAGCTAATTAGGTAAATGTTCTACGTATTTTACTGCAAGTACACTTAGGAGGTGCAGCGCGCTAACATACATTAGAGCTCCTTTGTTGCAGCTACTCCTAACGTCTCTTGTGCTAGTTGTTGACGTCTATAGTAGTAGTGTTGCTGCCTCCCTACGTTAGGATAGAAGGCACTACCTAAGGTTCCTTAACAGGCTTGAAATTTGACATTAATTACGCCCTTAACAGCTTTTACTTATAACACAACATTAGGGAGCTATCACAACTGAGATTAAACGACAGGAAATTGGGTTTTAGAAGCCTATCCTAGCCCTAACAACCCCCCTACGGTGCGCGCGACGGTAGTGATTGAAAGTTCACTTAATCGTAGTCAAAGTTTGCCTACAGACGCTTTGTGCGAGATCACAAGGCTACATTTTGGTTGTCATTCAGTGGTAGCGCGATGATCCGTGACGACGAGCTACCTACAACTTCCGCAATACATAGGGTACCGACATGAGAATCTGCTCTTGTTGAGAAGTATTGCGGTAATAACCAACTCGCGCGCGTGCGAATATCAGGGTTTGCTCTACCTATGGTCTGAGTAAGCTCCTAGCAGACCCCCTTGGGAGAAGATTCGACATTGCATTAATACTGGAAGTACGATCGAGAAAAGAAGCGCGTAACATTGTCTCGTACAGAGATCGTTCCTGGCAGTGCCGCACTCGCGCATACAGTAGTCCCCACGCACCTCCAAGGAGGCGTGCATAACCGCCTCACCAGCATACGTTCGCGTATTCTGTTGTCCGGTCAATGCCGGTGGAGTGTCGGAGAGACCGACAATTGAGTTTGGCTATATTGCGTGCATGAAGTGGCTGATGGTCAGCTTTTCGAGACCTCAGCCTTGTGTTGAGATTTGTGTGAAAGTGGTGTAACGTGGAAGCTTAGGAAACCTTACACAGGCATCAGAACCGAAACGATAGGCAAGCTAGTCTAACGCGGCTAGCACATGTCAGACGCCAAAAATAGCCCCATGACATTTTTCGGAGCTGAGGGAACATGAGCGAGATGATGCACATCTGGCTCGTATGCAGATCCGCTCGCTTTGAGATAGTCCGTGATGGTGATGATGCAATCTGCCACTCTAGGCATTGAGCTCTTCGAACACGTTGCAAATGTCACGATAGCACAAGAAAAGCAAAACATTCAGTGTACAATAATGAGACGCGATATGTATAGTTTGCATACCCCAGGCGATACGCAGGGGCGGCTGCAGCTTCAGGCACGTTGAGCAGAGGAGGGCTTGCAACGCCGCCTAGACTAACAGCTGCTGTCCCCACTTGGCGTTCTTGTTTGCAGGTTCCATCCGCCGGGCTGTGGGCACAGTGTATGTATCTGGATCCAGCGACGTTTGCTGTCGTCTCCTTGTGTCACTGGGAGGCGGGAGTGCAGGCACAGAACGGGGAAGACGAAACGTCGATTGCGCCTTGGAAGCCTTGAACAGCAGAAAGGCGTTAGAGGCAGGGAATTGGCAATAGCAGCACTGCCACGGCTCGCGATATCAGCAACTTGGTCCGGTGTTAGCTGCACCGGGACTGGTCTTGCCTTCTCCATGTCATTCCATTAGTTCCGCATGCCTGCACGTGCGGCGGCTTGGGCTGATCACCTACGCCGTGCATCTATGTAGCTCGATGCATTGTACTTGAGGAAAGCTGTCCAACCGCGCGATGCAGTCTTACCCGGGTATAGTCTATGGTTGCTCAGTCTCGTTTTATTATTAGCTGAGCGCGTCGTCTCCGCCCCGCCATCGACAACCTGCTCTGAGGCGGAGCTTGAAGCTGTCAACACTGCAATGCCTAACTTTCCATGGACCAAGTCGAATCGGTCGCACCAATCTGTCGACATTTCCTCGTCAGGGCAGCATTCGCCCGTACCACCTGGTAAGGAAGCATTTGGGCGCCCAATCGCCGGCGCCGCTGACGGGCAAGCGCTGGCAGTGAACGAGCAGGTCGCCGCGCAGCGATACCACACTTCAGACAGCCAGCAGGCGCCTGTACAGGCTCAGCAGCCTCCTGTGCAACAACAGCAGGTCTCGGCGGGCGCTCCGCTACAGGGCCAATATAGAGAACAGTTTCCTCAGCGCACGACGAGTCACAGGTTGAGTGCCCATCTCCCTCTGGGTCAGTCGTCGCCGTCGCAGGTTTACCAGCAACAACCCGGCCCCGCGCCAGTGTCTGGTGCTGAATCGCCTCATCGCGGCCCCTATCAGCCGCAGCCTGCGCCTTCTGCATACACGCCAGAAGCCAAGAAGCCATCGCTGCGCAGTCGCATCGCAGCCGGAGTCAAAGGGCACAAAGACCAGGAAGCCAAAGCACAGAAGAACGGCCTGGGCAGGCGACAGTCAGTCCGGAAGAGCGACCCCCGCGCGCAGGAGTATCAGGCGCAGGAAGAGAGCCGTGTGCAGCAGTGGCACCAGCACCAAGGGTCGACTTCCCATCTGCCCGCCTCGAACGAGCAGGACGAAGACAACCTCGACCCCTTCCTGCAGAAAGACGATACGCCCCAGGTACCGCCCAAGGACATCCAGTACCAACAAAACCTGCCGCAGCCTCAGCAGTTTGCGCCGCAGCCGCGTCAGGAACAGCAGCAGTACAATCGGCCCCCACTTGACAGGGTAAGCACGGAGGGCAGCTATTCGACCCAAGGCGGGGTAGACCAGTACAGCCCTGAGCAACACCAGGGCCAGGGTCTCCAGCAGCCACGGCACCAGCAACAGCAACAGCAGCAGCAATACCAGAGCTACCAGCCAGCTGTCCAGCACCCACAAGCCCCGGGCGACTACCAGGCCTTCAACCCGCAAACCGTGCCAAGCCCTCTGCTCCAGAACGCTCAGCTGCACGGGCAAGGTGGCTCAGTCTCGCAAGACATCCAGCAAACTTACTACCTGTACCAACAGCAGCAAGCTAAACTCCAGGCCCAGGGCCACTCGCCGCTAGACAACGCGCAGCAAAACACGCTTTATCCGCAGCAGTTTGCGTCCCAGCTTCAGCCGCATCAAGACCAGCAGCAACAGCCTCAACCTGGCCGGCCAGCCTCGCAGCAGCAGATTGACCTGCAGCCCCCACAGGCGTCTCGCCAGCATCCTCAGATCGCGCAAGAGGCCCAGTCGATCGAGTCGCAGCGCCGTCCCCCTTCGTCCCACCAGCTCGCCCCGCCGTCTCCCCTCCAGCCGCCGTCCCACCAGACCTACGACGCGCAGCACCCCCAGTCGTTCGATCTACTACCGACCAACATAACACCCCCACACGCGCACGACAGCATGGCGCCTAGTGCTCAGAGCAGTGCTAGGAACACCATCAGGAAAGCGAACGATGGCAGCCAACCACAGCCGGGCGCAACGTCGCGAGAGTCGTCCATGCTTTCACAGCCTCCCGCTCAAGGTCAGCCCCACGGTCAGCCGCCTGTGTCGCCGGGCCTGGCAACATTCGACGCTAACGTCGTTCCAACAGCTTCACAAGGACAGCCATACCGCGGTGAGAAGCAGCCCCAGCAGGTCTCAGAAATGGGACGGGCAACGCCACCGCCGAGGACATCTGTCGCCGATATGTCAGAGGAGGAAATCGAGAAGCTACAAAAAGAGCACGATGTCTTGCGTGAGTACATTCTCTTTGGACGAGCCAAATGGATCTAACACAATACAGGCGAAAAGTACCAAAAGGTTAAGCGATACTTTTTCGAGCAGCAGTCACAGGTCCATCAGCTACAGAACACCCTCGCAAACCAGCGTTTGTCTTTGTCTCGTACGTCCTGGGATGACACCGAATATGCAACACGCTTCAACCGATTGGACGGATTGATAGCACAGCTGTCTTTCTCAATTCGCAAAGACTGGAAGAGTATACCTACGTGGCTACACAAGGTGGTCAACAAGACAGCTGTCGAGACAGGCAAGCAAGAAATGACGGCTATCGGCCGCGCAGTCATCTCGCAGTGGCTGGTGGAGAACATATTCGAAAAGTACTTCCACCCAGACCTCGAGCCGGGCTTTTCGACGCAACTGCAGTCAATCGTCTCCAACATCCGCAAGTTCTCGCCGCCGTGCCATAGCGCCGAGGATGAAGACACGCTCGCTGCGAAGATTATCAACTGGCGGCTGGCCACACTGGAGGGCCTTGCGGACACTTTGAGAGCACCACAGGCCACAGCCAATCGCGAGGCGCTCACTGAAACACTCAACGAGAAGCTTATTGCGTTCCTCCAAATGCACTTGAATGACCCTGCGCCTCCAGATCTCAATGGAGGTGTGCCTATGATCATCGAACTCGCCATTAGCATCGCACAACATTTGCCCCTTGAAAGCCGTGAAGTACACATCGAGTACTTTTACCCTGATCATAGCATCGTTCCCGATTTCATGAAGATTGAGTCCGGCATCCCCGCGCTGACGGCACCCATCTTGGAGCGGGACGATGCCGACAGAGCTTCGATCAGAAGCATGGCTTCCAGACCTGACGACAACATGTCGTTAGTGGAACAAGAGCAAACACAGCTACAGGGAAGCCAACCACCAAGAGAAGATAAGAAGCGCGGCATGTTTGGTTTTGGTGGGTCAAAGAAGCCGACGGCTTCTCCTGCTACTCTGGGCAAGCGGGAATCGTCGCTCGGTCAAGGTGGCAGCCAGCAAAGTCTTACGCAACATCCGCCGGGTAGCTCTGGTGGACCAAAGGACGAAGCGCCGCCGCCACGTGTGCGTATGTCCGCTGGTGTCTTTGTACAGATTCGCGGCAAGAGCATCTTGATCAAGGCACCAGTATACCAGACGTGAGCGACCCTGATGCGACGATGATAATGAAGATGGACGATTTGGATTGAGCGATCTAGCAAGCAAGCGTTTGGTTTATTTCCTTTTCCACTTCTACACAGTTTGATTGGGTTCTGAGATTGGATCTACTGCATCTAAAGTATACCCAGGACGATTGATGGCGTGTTTTGGAGCGTTTGTTAGTCGACTTGGAGTGCATGCCGATACCCTCGTTGCTGTTACGGTTATGATTGGAATAAGAACAAATTCTCTTGTATCATGGAAGAGATCTTGCCTTCTGAGCGGCTTCGCGTGAGTGAACGTGTGAGATTCCGCGATTTGACCGCCTGCAGCACTGAGCTTCGAGGCCCGACACCACGCTAATTGCGGCGTCTTTGGACTCCCATTGGCCTACATCCGCACCTGCCCTTGTTTACCGAATCCAAACATTCTCGTCGCATGCTTGATAAGACTGTTTTGACGATGGAAGACATTGTCGTAACCCCGCAATTCAAATGTGAGCATGAGCGCGAAGGTCCTAAGCCTCGGCAGTTACTGATCAGTGCCAGCGACTAATGCCTCCGTCCCATCACCGACCGCGACACACGTCGCATGCCTCAATGGCGCGCGCTTGCAGATACGCTGTCTTACCACGTTGGAAATCGTCCGGAGTATAGCGATACCTTCAAGTCATGATCTTAGAAACTCGAGAATCGCCTGGTCAGCACCTACCCTACCACCGCTGACCTCGTCCACGTCGCGACCCCCACCCAACTCGACACCACCCCGTCGATCCTCACGCACACCGCGGCCATGCTCGAACCGCGTCCTCATTTCCGATGACGATACAACGCGCGTATACGATCTTCGCGACGAGAAATGGAACGCCGTGATAAGCAATGGCTCGGGCGGCATGGGCAAGAACGTGCATGCCGAGTTTGGCGCAAACGAGGATGAAGTCATTGTCTGGAGCGACTTCACCGCATGTGCAAAGATATGGTGTCTCAAGACTGGCAGGGCCGTAGAAATACGCGATCCGAAGTTTGTAGGCAAAGACGGAAAGGGCTGGGGCTATCGGCCGGGCGAAGATACGGACTCAAGAGGTGGAAGACGAAGAGGCGGCGTTCTGGCAATGCTATGTCGTGCAGCAGGCGCCGATATTCTATTGCTCCTGGCTCCTGGCACGTACAAGGTCATCAATCGCGTCGAGCTTACGACAAGCGATGCGGCAGGGCTGAGATGGAGTCGCGACGGTCGCTGGCTGGCAGTCTGGGACGCAGCTTCTGCCGGCTACAAACTCCACATCTACACTGCCGACGGTCATTTGTATCGCGCCATGACCCGCGAACCCTCAGACGACGTCAGCGAGTGGGATGTGGAAGGCTTGGGTATCAAGACGCTTGAATGGGTGCCTGGGAACGAATGTCTAGCTGTCGGTGGCTGGGACCGTCGCGTCCGTATCCTCTCTACACGAACCTTCGCCCCGGTTGTTTTCCTGGACCACACACCCGTCATCGATGTGCCCAGCGCGCCTGTATACAGCGAACATGTCGACAGCCAGGGCAACCGCAGCTTCACAACCTCGCAGCAGCCTGTCACACCTCCAAAAGCAGCCTTGGAGAAGAACGAAACCGGACTCATGAAGCAGGGTATCGGCATGTTGACCTTCAACGCAGACGGCACGCTATGTGCGACGCGTGACGACAGTACACCATGTACAGTCTGGATCTGGGATCTAACCGTGCTCCGACCTCGTTGCATAATAATCCAATACAGTCCAGTTAAGAACCTGCTCTGGCACCCCACCGATCCAAACCGTCTGCTCATCCAGACGACCCAAGACGAACCCACTGTATACCTCTACACAGCCGCCACCTCTCACTCACCATCATCCTCCACTTCTCATTCCACATCCGCCCACCAATCCTCTTTCCAACACCCCCCAGCTATTCTCACCTTGTCCTCGCAAATCAGCAAACCAGCAGGTTCAGCACCACCCCGCTGGTCCACAGCCTGGCTCTTCACCTCGCCAGACAAGAAACCCGCACTCGTATTCGGTCACCAGCAAGCACACGTACTGGTGTGGCCGGAAGGCAAAGATAAGATCCTACGCTTTGAACGTGACGATGAGGACGAGCAGGAGGAGTCAGACGACAGTCTGTTCGATATACTCACTGGACGGACGCCGATACCCGAGTTGAACGGGGATATTAGGGAGGAAGAAAGGATGGAGGAAGATGAGTTTGGGGATAGTGTAGGGACGGTGCAGGGACTGGATGATACGTTTAGAGGGAAAGGGGGGAGGGAAGATACACATGACGATCGAGAAGGCGAAGAGAGGGAGCAGAGTCTATACGAAGAGGGCGTGTTGGGCGAGAGTGGTATGAGCGAGATGTTCTAACACTCAAACACTACACCTGTGGAGTTTTGACCATCTCTAAGAAATATACCCCTACAATTCTCTACTAAAACACCACAATCCCGAACATAAGCACCCTTCCCCATCACCTATAACCTATTTCTTCCCCCCACTCTCATCCTGGAACCCCCACCGCCCCGTCTGATCCAGTCCCAGAGGATTCTGCCCCGTCTGCTCTTTCCCCGCAATACTCTCCGGCTTACTCTCATAGCTATCCTTGTTCTGGCCGCCCAGCAGCTCAGATTTCTCTTCTTCGTGGCCCATCAAGGGACCGAGAGCTGGGCGCGTGGTGCCGCCGAGGGCGTTGCCGAGGGGGCCTGTGACGCCTTTTTCGAGGGGCGCGCCGAGGGGGCGGAGGGCTGTGCCGAGGACGTTGCCTGTTGTGGGTGTGGATGTTAGTAGGGGTTGGATAGGTTGGATGGGTTGGGAGGTGTGGTGGTGATCTGGGTAGGGAGGGTAGGGAGGGAGGAGAGGAGACGTACCGATAGGGTCTCCGACCTTGCTCAAAAGACCTCCTGATCCCTTCTTCTCCTCTTGCTCGTCATTCTGGGGCTCAGTCTGGATGTGCTGTTGCTGCGGCTCTTCCTTGTCTGACATGATGAACGATGTCGGCTCTTGAGTTTCTCGTGGCTTGGATTATGTAGGTTTGTTGATTGTTTATTTCAAGAATGTGAAATGCGGTAGGAGCTAGGAGTTTATGGAGTTAGTTGCCTAAGGGTCCTGAGCGCAACGGCTTTATGTTAGTTGCGCAGGTTACGCGGCGCGGCGCGTTTCCAAGCTTCGGGGTGGTTGTGACGTCACTTGTCATGGGTGGGGAGGTTTGACGCGCTCCCTTTCTTTTTGGTGGGGTACGGTACGCGACAAGGAGTTGACGACATCACCGCGGTCGTTGCACCGATCGAGGAATACAGGCGTGAGAGTAGAGATCTAATTTGACCAGGAAAGAACATATGATATAGTGAGCATGGTAGTAGACACTGAGAGCACCGTGCGGAACCTGTCTTCCGTTGATGTCCATGTGCACAAAACTCCACCAGATGCACGTGTTTCCACCACACTCAAAGGACAGCCAGAAGGAAGAAACAAATCCCGCTTCATCATCAAGATGATGCATTCTTCGCCGTGAATTCGCAGTACGCAAAGCAAAAAGAAACAATTTGATGAAACACTTTTGAATGTGCAAGAGGAGACGCGCTCAATGGTCCCGCGTTGGTTGGAGCTCTCAACGGTTGACGCTACGGCGAAGTCGTCTTGCAACTGCACTGTCAGTGTTTGATATCTGATATCAGCGTAAGCCACTTACTGTTTTGGGCAGCAACATGTACTACCGTGTTCAACCCGCTACAGTGGGACGAGCGCTCGGATCGATATCCTCCTTGGTATGATGCGCAAAGATCGAGACGTCGATGACCTTGTCATGCTTGTATCCCACCCTCGGAAGTCTACCAACTCGGATAAACTTGCAAGCGCTTAGAAAGTTGCCTCGCCAATCAGCATCCAAGTCATCGCCATTCTCGTGGTGAACGTTGAGCAAGACGGTCTTGACAACTCTTGACGGCCCTGTCTTGAGATAGTCGAAGTTGTTGACATACTCGTATCCACCACGGGCGCGATAGCTGGTATCGACCATCTCCAAAAGTCGATCCACGAGACACTTGCCGATTCCCTTAGAAACGAACCCTGGGTGGACAAACAACTCCATCTCGAATGTGTAGCGGTATAGAGTCGCTTGACCACAGAAGTCGTCGAGGTGGATGAAACCAACTATCTTTTCGTTGACATAGCCCGGGTCGACCCGGTGCTGGTTGCTCTTGGAGACGGCTACTAGGTACGGGAGGCCTGCGCTGGTAATATCCGTGATTCTCGCAGCGATTTGAGCCACAGTGCGTTCGTCGAACTCGGTTGCGAAGATGGTATCCCTGACATAAAAGTTGTAGATCTCCTATAATCGGTGTTAGCAGAACATGTGTTTCTGATGCAATTCAAGACATTCAACTTACTGCGATGCCCCGGACATCCATCGCCTGAATGGGTCGAATATATATATTGGCTTCAGGGCGCAACCGACGGTCCACCATCGGTTGAACAGGAGCCTTTGACTCTGGTATGGGACGGTTCCGTTTCGCCATCGTTTTGCGATACTTGTCCTCTTTATGCTTCTTCACTGCCTGGACCTTGGCTTCAGCGGAAGCTAACTGATGAGGTTCATTCGTTTCCGGGTCAACCCTAAGTTCTGGAGCTGCCAGAGCGTGGAGATAGCTAGACACGTGTGTGAGGCGCTTCTGGTCCTGGCTGTCACTGGAATCGATGTGCTCTTCATAGATGATATCCTCGTAAAGCTCCCACCAAGGTAAGTAGTCGATGAGATCGTTGTTGTCTACCAGTTCAGGCTCGGACTTCGTTGTTACAAGTTTCTGCCAGTTCGTCCTAAGATTGTCGCCCTCAATCTTTACCTCCAGCCAGTAGCGAGGTGCAACTTCTTTGCCGAGAGTGAACGTGTTGGGTGGGAGGTAAACTTGGACCTTGTATTCGTCAGGGATTGCCGCAGCCCATCGCTCTATGTTAGCGCCAAAATGACGGTCTGCGTGACCTTTGCGTCCGGTCCAAGTCTCAGGAGCGGGCAGCCAGTTACCATCCCAGTCCGTCAGCTTCCTGGCGTCGTAATCCGGGTCTCCATTGCTGTCAGACCTGAAGCCGACGCCGCCATCACTGTCGCTGCTTGAGGGTATATACTTCATATCTTTTGCCTTGGGCCAGACTGTCTTCTTGTAGGGCTGTGGACCTCGGGGCCATCGTGGATTTCCCGGAGCTTTGGTAGTGGGAGGAGACTCGACCTTGGGCTGGTCCCAGCCGTTGTAGGTGGTGGGCTCAGGCATCGCAGATCCACGCAGCCCGTTCTTCCCATTGCTGGGCGACGTTGTTGGTGACGAAGCAGACGAATCTTGCTGATGATTCGCACCGTTGCTGCATACGTGTTAGTAAACCTGAATTGTATGATGTCTGTCACGGCATCGAGGCGCGATGGTAGACTTACGAGATGAGATCAGGCTTGCTGCTCATCCCGAGCTTCGACTGATTGGACGTAGAACGCGATCCATTGACAGCAATACCGCTGTCATGGGCAGAGTCTGCCTTTCCACCGTCGGCAGAGCTGCGGTTGCGGAGGTGAGGAGGGACGTAAACACTCGCTTTTCCGTTGGATGGCCCGGCCATGTTGTTGCCAATTTTCTTCTTCTTGTTGCGCGGGGATCTCTTGTTAGGCGGCTTCTGATTATTTACTGGGTCCGTGGGGCGGGGTGTAGTTGGAGAAGTAAGGTTGGCAGGTTCGACGGTACTAGCGTGGTGAGCGGTTGCCTTACCACGGCCGTTTCGACGCGGTTGCTTGGGTACGTTAGAGAATTCGGATTGCCGAGCTAGCCAGCTATCCGGGTCGTCTGGTTGTACGGGATCGTTCTCCTCAGCTGCGAATGGCACCCAGTGACGATGTCCAGATTGAGGCTTGTTAAGCTAGTGTTGTGTGTTAGTTGTGTTGTAAGAGTTGGTGAAGTGGGAAGACTGGGTGCAAGTGACAAGACTTATATGCCGTCACTCTGGGGCGGTATGAAGTCGGCACGGGAAGCGAGGTGCGCCTTCACTTACCGAGAGGTTTCCGAAGTCCTTTTCCTGCTGCCCAGTCATGGGTTCTTTGGCGAGCTTCGTGTCGACCTGAGCATCTTTGACCGTAGCATCGTCCAGCTCGATCAATGTAGGCAGTGGAGGCAGTGTACTGCGCGGGCACCAATTACGCGCGGTGCGGCTCATGATGCAGGTTTCCGATACTTCTGACTGGGAAGAGAACGAGAGGGCCCCAAACAATGCTAATGGGAGCAGAAGGAGCGACCAAAATGAAGAAGAAGAAGATATCCTTGAGATGTAGAAGCATCCAAAGGCCTGAGTCACGGTTTGCTAGTGATGAGTCTGCCTAATAAGTTTGGCGAGAGCATGCCAGCTTCGCCTCACCTCACCTCTTTCCTCATTGAATTTTACCTTGCCATGACACAACCCACGTGTTTACCGCTAGTGCCTACCGAGAACTGCAGGCAGCCACGATGGAAACAGAACATTACGGAAAGAGTTACCGATGCGACATCAAGACGTACCCAAATACACAGTGTCTTGAGACAACAAATGAACGTCTATCTGATGAAATCGACGAACGGATAATTAGACGAAATTTCCTGAGGGATTTTCCAGATTATAATCACTGATATAAAGTGGCAGGCGAGATGGAAGATTTCCGAAATGGCCGGAAGGCAACGTGATAACGGTGATGTTACTTTAGCATGCAATACCGTCACTTGGGCAGATGCAAGTGTCCGTAAACAGTTTAGCCGATAAAGGGACGAGCTCCACACTTACTTGACTGACTGCCTGACAGACTGACAGAACCCGAAAAGTGAAACGCACAAAATGCTGTCAATACTACGGAAGGCGCGTCTCAAGGACAAGGAGATGCGAATCTTGATGCTGTGCGTATTCCAAGAGTTTTTGCGAGATCGGAGGCTCACTGCATCAGTGGGCTTGACAATGCGGGAAAGACGACCATTGTGAAGAAGATCATGAACGAGGATGTGAACAGTGTCAGCCCTACGCTTGGTTTCATCATCAAGACGATCGAGTATGATGGGTACGTATGACAAACCTTGGCCGCCTGATGAGACTGACGGAACAGTTACAAACTCAATATATGTACTGCACCTGGTTGTTCCCTCACAAGCGTGTACTAACAGCACAGGGGATGTCGGTGGCCAGAAGACATTGCGGACGTACTGGAAGAATTATTTTGAGAAGACTGACACGCTCATCTGGGTTGTCGATGCGACTGACCGCGAGCGGATAGACGATTGTCGACAGGAATTGGCGGGGTTGCTGCTGGAAGAGGTTTGCACAAGCATGAACCCTCCCAAGCGTCACGAGCTAACGAAAGAAGCGTTTGTCTGGAG